GGTCAATTAACTTGTCAGAAGCATGATCCCCCGTGAAGAAAAGTGTTTTAATTGCGTAATTTTCACGGAAATGTGACCGTTGTTATGAGAGCTAACAATCTACAGCAGCTTATGATTGAAATTAATTGCAAAACTCGCTTTCAGTTCATTTCGTAACGAAATATGGTCAATTAATTTTACAGACGATTGCTACAATGATAAGTTTCTCAGCGATCTTTATGCGTCAATAATTCAGCGATAGGATTCTTTGTGAGTCAGCAACGTTGCAGCTGATTTAAAAGAAAAATCCTAATTAGTACAAGCTGCAAATCTAGCATATACATTACGAATTTAAGACTCATACGTGGAATGTTGAGAATCAAGTCGTTGACCTCGAAAAATCGTCATCTGTCAGTGCCGCACAGCTGCGCAGAGTGGAATGAATAAAGCACAATGAGAATCGACAATGGCAGCTAACCGCTGCGGAAAATCTCTCTAAAGGAGGTGCACTTAAACGTTAGCCTTTTATCGCACCTCTCCCGCGACAGTAGAATAGGGCGGTGTTGAAGGAAATGGGAGCTCGAAGCGATTAAACGTGCACGATCGAGCTATTAGCCTATGCGCAAAATAGCAATTAATGTATGTAGATTAACAAGAAATGTAATCTCGAGTGAATAACTATTTAAACGTGTAAACACTCACAAGGGCGAGGTTCGGCATTATTTTGTGAATTTCATTAGCTGTATCTCGCGCCAAATCGAGGTTAAGCAAATGTTTAGCTTAGAAATTTCATCCTACCAATATTCGATAAGAAGCTTCAAGCCTTGTTTTCAATTTATGGGCTGCGGAGTGTTGTATCTTTCAATAGCTCTTGTCGTAACGTTTTCGGTACAAACATGGACATAGCAAGCTTTGACAAAGGGATTTATAATTTGTAAGCAGACACATTTACGCTACTATGTTTACTCTAAAGAACTGAACTGTGTTTAAATCAAGTTTGTAGCAGCGAGTAATTCGAACTTCAAGTAATAAGTTTCGAAGCTACTTTGATGCTCACTTTTAACCTAATTTTTAAAACTTTCACGGTTTCTAAACTTCAGTAACACATACACTTGTTCAGTCGGCTTATGTAAACAAGTGAATAGATTTGCTTGTATTATTATTTCACAATAATTTTTTCGGAAATTTCGAATCGATAGATAATTTGAATCTCGTACAATCCGATTTTATTACAGTTAACTAGCCTCGACAAATTCAATGGAATAAAAAATAATATTCATTTAACTTTTAAATAATAATAGTTATAACATCATTTTAATATTGCTTTACCAATCATAAATAAATTTATTTCATTTGGCGCTTTCGTGAAATAATTTGATATGTTCAATTATTGAAATACTCTTGGATGACATTTTTTGTAGAACTCGAAAACTATTCGGGATAAATACAATTGATTACGCAAAACACATCATTTGCAAATAATTTTCAAAGTGCTTATTATCACCGTAATTTTATATCTCGTTTTCCAGCTTGTAAATCAGAAAAAGTGTTGATTGATTTACACAAAAACGAAAACTACTTTTTTCAAATGAATCCGATCCAACAACTATTAAAAAAAAAACATCCTTCAATTAAAATCAATGGTCAGCTTAACTGAAAATGCATACACTCTGAAAATATCATTTGTGTCCGGGTGACTAGGGGCATTGTTTTGGACATATCGATGTGCGATCGAGGGTGATTTATCCATTTGCACGTGTATCAAGACTTAACTTATGACTTGCAACGGAATCTGAAAGTCCTCGAATAAGTGTAACGCACTCGACAATGTCTAAGGTCTTCGCTATTCTTTGCTTTATAAGTAATACGAAGGAGACGGAGGAGAAAGATAATCAGCTTTGTATTTCCCCGTGGATCGCTGCACCAGCTGCAACGCAAATTTTCCCAATGTAGTGCAAGTTAGGGTCTTCCTCTCATCTTTTGAAACCTCTTGGCGCATTTCCTTCGCTCGTTGTGTCATCCGATTGCGAATTGTTTCATATTCACGCACGGAATTCCCCGAAGATTCTCTCTCCGCGTAACACGCGTGTCATCCTTATATCATGCCGGACTTTTCGTGGAGTCAATCGAATTGCAGCTAGATTGAATCAGACATGCAGGCGTTAGTGGGTTTACGGCGAACCCATTGAGTTACGCTTTCGTAGTATCCGAACAAAACTTAGCGGGAATTGTATCCTGCCGGAATTTCTTAGGATGTATGTGACTGCAACTCGTAAAGTCATTGATCACCAGTCTTACAAAAGCAAATTAACACGCGCCACCAAATTTCCGAAGCTAGAACGACCGGCGACCTGCTATTGCCAGGTCGTTACGCTTACAATAGAGCACACCGCAATGTCATAAACATGAGTTATATACTGAAAAAGCCACTTTTGCTTAAGAAGAACCTGCGATGTTTTCAACAACATTTTCGTCGCCAGCCACGTAGTTCGATTAATCAGAGGCCTTGAAAATTACCAAGTCACATTGTAGGAAGACAAGCCGTTTGTGATCGAACGGTGCTGATATTTGTTGTGCTAGCATAAATAGCCGAGATATATGGCATATACGCACATGAACACGCAACTGAGAACTGTCAATCAACGTATATGATGTTAATTAATATTATGCCATTTGATGATCTGACGGATAAGCGCTTGAATAATCCCTGATTGAATGGCTTTGGTCGCGTTATGAATACTTATCGCTCAATGTAAGTTGCTATAATTACTTTGACAGAAGAATTTTTGATATTAGCAAGCGTTATTCATCAGTGCAAGTTTCTTGATCGTAAATAATCGAATGAAAACACGGTCATCTGAATAATAAATAGTGGTGGGTTATTAAAGCTCACGGAAGCGATCAATCATCACTAGTTTTTTCCATAAAAACTTTGCGGCGCATCGCCTCAAAGCTAATAAAAATTTTTCAGCAAATATTAATCTGCTAACACGTGCGTTGCAATTAGCTCGTGAGCGCGTGCTTTAATTAACTAAAATTTTGATTCAATATATTCGAGCAGCAATGAAAGCTTGCGACAACAGGAAAACGTCAGTAAAACGGACTTGAATTTAATTTTCATCTAATGAAGCTTTAATGACCTTGAAGATTCCGTAATGAAAAGTTCTATTTTTAATTGAAACTTTACGCGTATGTATGCGTGTATGTGTATAGTGGGGGTGTCGCGACTCGTTTAGGTCCATCACACTGCTGCATCGATCGTTTCCTGCATCAACGAGAAATTCGCTTGGAAAATCGAAGAAAGAAGAAAGCGAGCCAATAGATATCAGAAAAAAAATAAAGCCACTCACGTTTTATCTGTAATTAATCAAGGGAAGAACCTCAAATACAGCGTCTCGTCTGATAAGACTGATTTAATTAAAATCGATCGCCAAGCTCATTCTTTATTTCTTTCCAGCGCAATTAGATTGCTTTGAAATAAGCCGCTCTACTCTCTCTCTCTCCTCTCTCTTGTTCTTTAAAAAAAGAAAAAAAACGAAAGTTTGCGTGCGCGTGGAGAAAGAAACTTTCCAGATGGGACTCCGCACACGTGTATACTTGACTTTCCGATACTCTGTCGCTGATATTGTTGGCCGTCACGCGACGAATGCGCGCTATCAGGGTGCAGCTCGCGGTCCCGGAATCTTGTGAATTCCAGAGGTATGCTTACGACAAACTGCTACTCTTTTCTTTTTACGCTTGTGAAAAGTATAGGCGGTAACTTGCAACTGGTGCAGTAGCCGAGGAAGATTTGTTGGTATTGTTTTAATTTAAAATTTCAAGAGGAAAAAGCTGCACTTGACAATTGAAAAAAAAATAAAAATTCGATTTTACCGCGTGCGCGTGCCTGGCAAATGCACACCGTGATTAAAAAAAAAAACAGATTAGTCAATGTCAGCGACACAAACGAACCGCGTTTCGAAGGAATGTACGTTTATCGGTAAGGCAGTGGCAAGCCGCAGTTTAATAAGAACGTTATATACATATATCGTTAAGACTGTGATTGCATAAACGCTTTATGGAATTGCAATCGGTGCGCGTACACCAAATTCCTAAACACGTAAGCTGCGCGCGAGCACATCGATAATCGAGTTACACGAGCCTCGTCTAAAGGCTAGAAAGGCCATGGCCAAATGCTCGGCGCGCTTGTTTATACGTGTTATTAACTCGCTCTCGTATGTGTGTGCGGGTCCAGCCGTTGTTGAATTGTAGCATGTGAATGTGATTTAGAGAATGGCAATTTCGCACAAATACGCCGGTGAGCCTATATCACTAACTTTAATTAATGGCATTGCTATACTATATCAACCCTTTTCATTGGATCGAGGGACCGTTTAAGTTTTATCGCCACATCTATTTCAATTATACTTCAAAAATCAAGAGGGCCAGTCAATCTTGAACACTAAAATTTTTAAGTTTGCCCTGTCGCGGTGTAAAAGTTGTTCTGATATGAATATCACCATGAAACTTTTTTCATCTAAAAGTAATCAAAGTAGACTTTAATTTTCATTCTTCCAAGTCTGAAAATCTCGATCCCACAATCTATGGAGCCACTGCGTACTGTGCATATATTCGCTCGAAAAAGCTAATTCCATGCATGATTCTGAAACTCTGTGTAAACGACAAAATTCGTTTCAGAGTTAAATGGGTTTGATGTAATCTCCGCTGTCGCTTTGAGCACTTTGTGAATAAACTAATTTTTTTCTATTATATTTTAAAATTTTGCTATCATAAAATTTCCAAAACTGTTTGAAAAACATGAGCTAGCTCCCTTAATAAAGCTCAATATTTAACATTCTGTTATCGAAACCCCCAATTGCTATAAATCACTTCGATAAATTTCAAACTTATCTTGTTCTGCTAATCGACGGATAAGGCTCTATCGTCCTATTACGTCATACAGTATCACGCAGGTTCTTGTTAGTACCGCCAGCTTGACTAATGTAGCACTCGATTTCGAAGATCGCTATAGGCGTACTTGATAGCGAGTAACGCTCCAAGGTACATGCTTGTTGCATATCGATACATCAAGCGAGACAAGTAGTCTGTTCAATTATGACGACACCTGCTGCTACGGGGAACTATTCCAAGAGACCGCGTGTTTTGGTTACTCACAGCGATACGCCACAAGTTGCTGTCGATTTGTTGAGAACCAAGTAAGTGTTTATCGTTACAGCTTGCTCTGAATAACATTATTGCTTTACTATATAATATTCAATTCCTTTTAGATGCGACATAATTATAATGAGTACACCTAAGCCGAGGGAATCGGAATTATTGAGATTAATTCCGGGAGTTGATGCTGTCTATGGAAAAGTTTGTATTGATACCAAAGTTCTTGATAAAGCTGGTAATACCTTTTTAAATATTAAAAAATTACAGATTTCTTTTTAAATATAAATTACTAATGTATTGCAGGCAGTAATTTGAAAATAATCTCAACTCCTTCCGGCGGCTACGATCACTTGGACCTAGACGCAATAAAAAAGCGCGGCATCAAAGTGGCGTACATTCCGAAAGTTTTAACTGATTCAGTGGCGGAAATTGGAGTTCTCTTATTGTTGAGTGCAGCAAGACGTATCCATGAGGGACGAATATTGCTCGAGCAGTAAAGCGATTTATTCATTATAACATTATAACGTTTATTTCCCATTCAAAGTGATCGCTTTACTTTTTTATTACAATACAAGAGGAAAATTCGAATATGGATTTCGATTTCAATGGTTGCTTGGTCATGATTTGCGCAATAAAACTGTCGGAGTCGTAGGCCTTGGACATATTGGCGAAAGAATTATAAGAAGATTAAAACCATTTGAAGTGAAGACCTTTTTGTATACAGGACACTCGAGAAAGGCAATAGGTACTGGATGTGCATAAACGGTGAAAGTATAATAATCGAACGATTATTATATTTATTTTCTCTTAAATTAGGAGATGAACTTGCTGCCGAGTTCGTAAGTTTTAACGAGCTCATCAAACGAAGTGATTTTGTCATTAATTGCACTCCGTTGACACCAGAAACTTATCAATTATTCAATGCCGATATTTTCAATAAAATGAAGACAACCGCTGTGTTTGTGAATATCGGTAGAGGAAAGTCTGTCGACACTAACGCACTAACTGTAGCACTGAGGAACAAAACAATTTTCGCCGCTGGACTTGATGTCACTGACCCAGAACCATTACCCTCAAATCACGAGTTGTTCCAACTTCCAAACGTTGGTGAGTATTAGTAACTAACCAGAGTTACTAGTGCATATATATTACTTGTTGAACTTCAATTTGGGTTTGCGTTTGCTTTATGTAATGTTATTTGTTTTGCAGTGATTACGCCTCACATGGGTTGTCAGACCGTCGAAACGCGCAACGAAATGGCCATTGCAGCCGCTCATAATGTACTTAATGGTTTACTAGGACAACCTTTGTACGACGAGCTTTAATAAAATTAATAATATTTAGGAGTTATTACAAAATCTTTACATTATTGTTTATTTGCATAAGTAATGCGTATTCTGTATTTATCGATTAATCAACAACACATATGCACATGAACTATTTTGAGGATTTTAAAATTATTGTTGATATTAATTTTAAAAAAATGTTCCGAATACGTATAAGAGTTTATTTTAAGAAATGAGCATCAATTATAGTACGGCAGAAAAAAGAAAGCATTGTCAGTCTAGTGAAAGTATATCAAAACGATGCATCGGATATTAAAAATAAAGATATTTATCAAGGATCAAACACATTTTTAACGTGCGATTCTTGAAAGCGGGCGTAGAGAGAAAGCAAGCAACACGGTGCTAAACGCGTGCGCGTCGAGCGTCGCTTCGGCGCCGAGGCAGCTATTGCAAGCGTTGTGGGATAACCAAGTCTCAGTTTACGGCTAACCGTGCCACCAAACGGATGCCTGGTCGATCGCGGACCTATTCCACTGAATACAGCAAACGCGCGAAAAGCCGCACGTGGATATCTCACATAAAAATCTATTCTATTTTGCTCGGAGTACAGAACTTGACTTTTTTTCTTATTCGTGTACATTTTGTGACGCGAATGAGTTTGGATTTTTAGTGAAGTTCGTTAGAAAGCCAAGATGGATCGAAGATCGGCGTAGAATGTTGATGCAGTGCGCAAGTTACCAAAGGTAAATTACTTTTTTTCCTTTTTATGGTTTGAAGGTGTGTGATTTCTTTTGGACAGTTTTATGATATTTACGTGGAGAAAGTTTGCATTTAATAGCTTGAGTAATCGCAGAAAGACATTAAATCTATTTTTACGAGGTCGGAGAAAAAAAGCATAGATAAGAAATAGAATTCAGACGTCTCTTTCTTTTGTGTATACTTACATTTTATTTACGTATTTCTGAGAAAATTTCAATTTACTTGTTTAGTCGATTGTTCGATATTACGTGAAAAAAGAACAAGAACACTTATTTGGTGCAAATGGGAAATTAATGAAAAGCATAATTTACAATGAAAATTCCAAAAATTTATATTACATTTCAATTATTCAACCTAACAAAACTAAAAAAATCAATCAAAGCTTTACAAATAATGATATACAAATCCGTTAAATGAGATTTGCCTTTTCCTCAGTAACTGATAATTGTAATTCACATTTTTCTTTATCTGGAACTTAAATATAATGGATTCGGAGAATTTTTCTATACAAAAAAATTGTGTTACAAATTTATTTATTATTGTACTATTATATTATTTGTGGCATATTGGTTTCTTTTCCACTTATTCTACAAATATTTCTTTCCCATTTTTTGAACAAAAATCAAAATAGAAATTACATTTATATAAAATAAAAAATATTGAAGTTTACAAGTTCCTATTATTTTCCAAAAAAATTAAAGAAAACGTAGTTGTATATCATAGAGTATAAGAGATGATCGTAAATTTGAAAAATTTTATCCCAAATAAAAAATCCATGAACATCTGAACAATATCAGTGTACAGAACGTTAAAAATAAATGAAAAGCGTTGTTTGTACTGTTTTGCCGAAACAAAGAAGACACGAACTACTTGTGATAGTTGTAATAGTAAATCAATATCCTGTAGGAAAGTCTAAACAACGGAAATAGGCATCATGAATCTTAGAAAGCTCGTTAACAAAACCTTCTTTACGTAATTTCCAACTTAAAAGCCAACAAAACTGGAGAGAACGTACTTCAATAGCCAATCTCTAGAGTAAATCTTAACAAGAAAAAAGAATCATGAAATACATGTTACATGCTTTCATCTGTCCTCTCTTTGCGAAAAGAAAACAATAATTTATTAATCAATCTCGCAATTCCCTTAAAAATAAAAAGGAGAGAGAGGGAGAGAAAAAGAGAGAAAAGGTAACAAGAAAAGTCGAGGCGTCGTCTTACGAACGACCCTCTTTTTGCGACATAGCGACTAAGCAACAACCCAAGAGATAGCAAAGGAAATCAGATAATACCGTCTCTAGTCGTGTGCGTCGGTGTTCACACGCGCGTTGGTTCGGTCGATGCCTACATAAAAAAAAATCTACCCGCGAGTAAGACTCGCTTCACTCTCTTGCCATGCCTATTCGCATTACGGGTCTCAGGATATCAGTATGGAAAGTAGCTATTTGCACGGCGCTCGCATTTTGGTTTTACAAGGCTGAAAATAAATTTTTCTTCTCTCTCTCTCTCTCTCTCTCTCTCTCTCTCTCTCTCTCTCTCTCTCTCTTTTCGCCAGTTACTCCGCGCTGTCAGTAAACGAGTTTAACGTTGAATTAACATGCGCCGACTATATAACGCGATGCAAATAAGCGTTTTCCGAATTTTAATCTCCACCATGGTTTTTCTTTCTGAAAATACTACCTTACAGAAAAAACATTTTGCGTGGCGCTTTATTATTATTAATTATATTACGAATATCTCGCGTACACTCTGTTTCGAAAATTTAACATAATCTTCTTATTCAGAAATCTTGTCATAGTTACAAAATTCAGGTACGTTCTCAACGTAATCTTTATTTACAAACCTATTAAAAAGCGTAAAAGCAGAAGAAACGATGCGTTTACAAACAACTTTCAACAGCAATATATCTTGGCATTTCTTTGTCCCTAGCACATTGTTTGAGTGATACTGAAGTAGATTAAAAGTGAAAAACAGGTCATATCCAGCCGGAACGTCGCCCAAACGCAACCGACAATTCAGAACAGAAATTCAATCCGAAAACCGTTTCACTATAAATGTTCCACGGCTTATCAGACATCAAGTAGCACATTTGAATAAAACCTCTATAGTATTAACTCTCGCTCTCGCATAATTAAATTATTCAGAGTATTCGTGAAAAAGACCTCGAAACAATCGCAGGCCACACATCGCGAAACACAATTATCATCAATCTTATGACCTTCGCGTAGGTTACATGTACACATACACATAAAATGAGGCCCTTATCGGACTGGCTTTCATCGTTCTCGCACGAAGAGAGAGACAGAGAGAGAGAGAGAGAGAGAGAGAGAGAGAGAGAGAGGGAGAGACCCAATCGATGCTGACTCTTATTGTCTCATAGTGACTCCGAGAACATTTCTCTATGCGTCGCTCTACAGGTCTCTTTTCGATATTATCTATAGGAGCAAGTTCCGTAGAAAAGATATATTCTCGTGTATTGTTGGTTCAAGTCTAATTTTGTTTTTCCTTTCGTAAGCTTCGACAAAACTTGTTTTACAGTGAAATACGAAGCACTGCCATTTATTTTGCGGAATTTAATTAAGAGAACAATTTTTTCGCACCAGGGATGTTAAGCGAAGTTCCAAAAATAATGAAAGTTGCGCTGGCGCACTAACCACGTTAAACTTTAATGAACATTATACCTCGTAACAGGGGGTTCCCCATGTGTTCGGCCATTTTTCTTATACACTCGTGTTCCGTGGGAATTTCAGCAAGAAAAAACATACATTTGTAAATGGCGTTCTGATGTCATTATACGACGACTGGAGTCGCTACATAGTTAATGACCATGCAACCACCCGCTGACCAGCTGCACGAAATAGTCTTCTTTTCATTACACTTGAGCACAAAAAAATTAAGCAGCTTACTTTAGCTTCGCCTCTATCTCTCTTCCTTTCTTTTGTGCGTACTAAACACAACGACTTATTGCTGCGTTCAAACCCAACTTTGACTTTCAACCTAAGAAGAAGTAGCTCTTTGAGAATACATTGAGATAGAGAAAAATTCGATGACATTTTTAACGAGACGACTGAGTATGACACAAAGCGGATCCTAAAGTGAAATATCTATTTTCAGCGAACAAACATTTGAAATTTAATTTATAATCTATTCTGTCAACATGTTCAAATTGAAATTAAAATTAGTGTACGAACGCTCGGAGAGAAGAGAAAGTTAAATGAGATTCCAAGCCGTGCACACAAGTATAAAAGATACGTGAATAAATGAACGTTTAAACAAAAGAGCGCGTATCTCCCAAATTTCGAAGAGCAAGTAAACTGCATGATAACCATAAAGATTGCTTACTCAGATCGACAACGAGATTTCTGACGTCTTCATTCACTTTAGAATCCCGTGGAGTGCAAATTTTCAAGGATTCAGCCCCTCATCAGCGTCTTCCACTTCGTTTGGCCAGCCTCAAGAAAACGCGGTTTCGCGATATATCTATAACGAGCTGTATAGCATTCAACTTTAATAACCACCACTTTAAAGCTCTTTTCGACTCTGTTATGCGGAAAATACACTAGAGCTACCTTAATTCTCCCTTTGGAACAATTCACCACTCTAATGCTAAATTAAACATTGGAAACTGATCTCTCGGTAAATTTTTGAATTATATGACTACGTCGCTCTTAATTTATGCAGGAAAGCTCTTGAAAGGTCGTTATTTTGTTATTTTGTAAAAGTTGTACGCTTCTAAATCTTCATTAATTTTTAATACCGTTCAGAATTTAGATGTTTTGGTTTGAGCCAGACAAGACAGAATTTAGTCGATGAAGATTTTTTTCAGGCTTCGTTGAATAAATAATAGCCCGAGATGTTACATGCAGTTTAATTTATTTTTACTGTCTAAATGCTTCTTTTATAAGATATATGCTGTGTTGATAAATCATATTTCGAAAAGATCTAGAGTTATATACCGCATGCTCTTATTATTATTTTTTTCGTACATTGCATTTATTTATAGAGCATTTCTATGATTTAATCAATTTACTTTCAAAGTATATGTAAAATATGATAAATAAAATCGATACTAACCAATATTAGTAATATCTAAAATGTTTATTGATAGAATGAGAAAAAGTATATTATTACGGTATAGTGCATATTATTATAGATCATCAATACTAGTTTCTACTACACTACAAGCAGTACTTGGATTTTTAAGTTCAAAAAATGAAATTTCAAGATTAATCTCTCAATTAAAATGATGACTTTATTTACTTTTGTAAAGCCGAATACAACCAATTAAATTTATACGCTAAATATCATTCTATTTCCAAGTTTCCCATATCCATTTCCAAGATCATTAATAATTATAATTTGTTATTTAACATAATTACCTTGAAGTTAACTTCCAAAATAATATAAAACTCTATATCGATTACATACAGTCAGATGGAAATCAATTACAATTACTTTCCAAGTTATAACGATTGAAGTACTATCAACTATTATCAAGATAAGTGTAGAAACGTCAGCCAAATAGAGAATTAGATTCGGTAAATGCACCACTTCGGGCTTAAACCTTCAAACAATAAATCAAACGAAAACTTTCATAACAATTAACTGGATTCTTAAAGTTAATTTGATCTATTAATAGACTGATAACTTTTATATGTCAGAAATTTCATTATAAAAGTACAATCATCTGCAATCGTTTTATTTATTTTTATATAAATTTCAATAGAAATATAATGCTTTTGAAACTTTTAGCTTTTAGCTTTCAGCTTTATGTCGAAAACGTAGTTAATAAAAAGGCAAAGCTGACACGTTAAAGTCAAATTTATGTGTTTTCAAAGTTCAATAAGTAACGAAATCCCGAATATTTTCGTTTTAATGGTACGCTTTGTAGAGTTCTGTATATGGATATAAATTACAACTTTTTATATTAAAATGCACAATTATTTTGTTTACGCTCTTTTGTTGATAATATTTTGAAGATGTGATTG